ATAGAAAGAAAGAAGAAAATGTAAAGATGAAAGAAAGAAATAAGAAAGAAAGAAAAAAGAAAGAATTATATGCTTTTCTTTTCATCTCACCCCAATCAAGGCAGAAAGTCACTAAGACGTAAGGAGATTACTGAGTGTGAGAGAATATAAGGAAAAGAAAATGCTATTAAGGAGTGAGAACAATAAGTGAACATGAATTAAGAAGACGGAAGATAACGATTGATTTTGCATTTAAATTTTTCAAGATCAAAGTTGACTGGGAAGCAAGAAATCGGAAGAGAGTTCCACATGCAAGAAGTGCGATAGAAGAAACTATTAGTATAAAACTTACGGTTGCAGCTAGCTACTTCAATTGTAAAATGATGCAGCCTAACTGCCAACCTAGTACTGCGCTTAAATTCATAAAAAGCTAGGTACAAAAGAGGAAAGCACATCAGAAAAATGAATGAAAATACTTATGAAGAAGGCACAGAGAACCTACATTTGCGGTGGTGTGAAATTGACTGAAGTCAGGATGCCAGGTCAGAACCAATAACTTTGCAGATTTCTCTTTGTTTTGTTTTTTTTATCTAGAATGTCTAAATACATAGCAAAAGCACAAGATCAGATGTAACAGAAATAGTCAATGCATGGACTTATAACTGCGTAAGGTAGATTCTGGCGAATAAAATTATCTGTCAAAGCACATGAACCAACCTTCCTAGAAGCAAACCTAACAATTAATTCAAAATAATTTTTCACTTCATGTCAAGGGAAAACGTTACCCAAGAAGACGCAATATGTTACTCTCCTGAAGGTTAGCATCAGCCATAATTATGGGAGACAGAAAAAGTTCTCTCAGATGTTTAAAAGAGAGCAGTCTTGTTTTGAAGGCTTAAAATTAGCAAGTCATTTATTGCCCCAGTTAACAACAGATTTGTTAGATCGATCTATAAAGAAGAAAAAAAACATTATGTATATAAGAGACAAAAATATATTAAAAACAAAAATTGGAAAGAAAGAAAAAAATTGTATAATTGTAAGAAAAAATAAAATGGAAGATTATACACAAAAACCAAAATAGAGACCATCGAAAGAAGGAAAGGTGGGAAATAAACAGTGAAAGAAGAATATAAACGAAAAAAAAAAACGAAAATAATGGAATAAAAAAAGAATGAAGAGAAGAAAAACGAAATGAAAGAAAGACTAAAAGAAAAGCGAAAAGAAAGATAAAGAAAAGACAGTAAAGAAAGAAAGAAAGAAAGAAAGAAAGAAAGAAAAAAAAAGAAATGAAAGAAAGACGAAAAGAAAAGCGAGAAGAAAGAGAGAAAACGACAATAAAATAGAAAGAAAGAAAGAAAGAAAGAAAGAAAGAAAGAAGAAAAGAAAAGAAATGCAAAATGAAATTAAAAAAAATTAAAGAAACAACGATGTCTAACAACATATTTCTACTTTTTATATTCTCGTATATTTTCTCGGTGTATGGGATGTATCGTCAGTGGTGGTATCTTTGCGGTGAAGCGGTCAATCCTGCTTTACTCAGATGAATTAAGAGGCTGAACTGCACTGGTCCATGGCTTACACCCAGCTCACATACATGGCACCAAGAAGTCGCATAGATACTGTTAGGGACACATCGAGATCAACATTGTCAACTGGCTGGCTAAACAGTGTGAAGGCAGTCGGTAAGGTTTCTGACCCGATCTGTGAAGGGCAACTCCTTCTCCCAGCCCACATGTGACCAACAGCTTTCTGCCAGTCGCCAGCCTGGGTGTGTAAGAGCTACGCCTCAGAGGTTAACATCTTTATCAATGGGCAAAGGAACTTCTTAGATGAGAGACAGTGTAACTTTAACACCCATGGTGCAAAAAGTTGCATTATTTGGCCTTGAATCTTATCATGGACCACGATTGGCGGGGGGGGTGACCACCACAGTGGCGCAAAATGAGCTAACTGGATAAAGGATCTTGATATTCGAGTAATAATATCTAAAGAATTCTTCCTTCTGTACGCCCCCGTTTATCATCATAGGGGTTTCGGTTGCACATATATTAAGAGACACGTTATTATATGCAATTTTGATCTAACTCGGAATAATTAAGTCTCGTTCATTCTCTATGTATAAAAGATGTTTTTTGCATGACAATCTGGCTTCTTTGCTTCTAACATTGGCTACATCCACTGTCCTTCTCTCGATGTCTACATCCTAATACTGCAGAGGTGACTTCCGGGTGCTATACCTTGCAAGAAGGCAACCTATGATTTAGTCTCAGGGTTACATACGTTTTTTGAATACTAATTTGTCTTGCTCTTTACTTCATAACTTGGGGGAGGGAGAGAATGATTCATACGTGTTTTCCAAGAGTGTGTCTGAGTAAGTGAATGTCACGAACTCGTGTGGAATTCGAACTCAACTCTCCAATTTCTCATTCCGAGCCGTTATCCCTCCTCGTCATAATAAACTTATTTTCATTGCTTCCGGACATGTTCTCCCCCCCCCAAAAAAAATGACATATTTCAGTGCAAGAAGAGAATTGCACACGTTTAAAAGCTGACCAACGTTCGTTTCTGTACGCCTGTGTGGAATCCGCTCCCCTAACTTCTGAATTTGCCGAACGGCTTTTAAACGACCTATTAGAGTTAACTAACTACACGAGCAATAAACACTACACTTTAGTAGCTAACAGTTTCATAACACTGTAAAAAAGGTGACGTCAGATCATATTCCTCGAGTTTTCAAGATATTACAGTTTAACTGATGTCGTGCAGCCATATTTGTTTTGCTACATTTTGATATTGTTATCTTACCGGGAATAAGGAGTATCAGTTTATGAGAGACTGCAGATGGCGCATAAACTGACGTGATCAACAGTGTGTAAAAGAACACTACACCTAAAAGGTCAGGCACGATGACTTGTAAGTTGGCGCCAACACAATCATTGACAGAACCGTTCCGGTTAATCAATTCCACAAGACTTAGATATTGTTTTTAAGTATTTTCAAATAGTGCTACACAAAGGAATCACCAGAGAAGAAGTCATATTCCTGACAAATCGACCACACGGAGATTGGAACCTGGATCTGTCATTCAGAAATCGACCGCTATAACCACTCGACAACGCGCCCATTGTGATTTTGTGATTGTATAATGGGTGAATAATAGAGGCTGTCTTTCTATTCAGACTCGTTGATGTTGAGCGTTTGATAAAAAAGATGGTGTTTTATTGTTTAGATTGATGTTGTGCCGTAAATAGGAAAGGTTGGTGTAGTTTAAATTCTAGAGACTCGCCTAAATTCCTTAGAAGGCACTAATCCTGAGTGACAAAGTGTAGATGTTGCATTTATCGTATTGTCTGGTCGTTTATAGACTTACTTCTTTTTCTCACACGCCCCACTCCGTCTTTCCTACACTGCATATTTATATTTCCTCAAATCTCGTGGTCGCCGTGATTTTGCGTTAATTTGTCATCATAAAACAATATGGCTGCCTCACGAGATTCTTTTTACGTACGGACGTCAACGAGGTAAGTTTAAAAAGATACAGTCGGCACACATATAGAAAGCAAGAATTAGTTTATTCTGGAGAACGATATGGTGCGCAGAAAACAGTCTAATGTAATTAACAGTTAATCGTTAACTCTTGGGTATTCACCCGAGATCCCCCCCTCCACAAGGCGGGATGTGGCACAAGGCCGGTTTTTAACGTAGGGCTTTCCGAGCGGGCACGCTCGGGCAAAAATTTCCAGTAGACCACGCATACAGGGAGTCAGGCAGCTGTCTACCTCTCTATACAAGACGCAGCCTGTAAGCATAGCTTCATCTGGATTCCTGCTGGAAGAACCTATTATAATCTGGTAAGAGGACTCTGCACTATGCCAAACAAACAGGAGAACCCAATTTCTGCGATCACCTCACCCCTTATATCTAGCTAGCTAACTCCCCAGACTGAAATACCCTCCTTGATTATAACGTGTGAAGCGCAGTTGAGTGAGAGACCAAAGATGAACTGAAGACTAGGATCGTGACAGTATTCATCAACTTAAACAAGGAGATCGTCCAGAAAAGTAGCTGGAGACTCCAGAGTTGTCTGGAGGACAATGGCAATTTTATTAAATGAATTTATTCTTTAGTACTTCAAGACATTGAGGTGTAATTTAGGTGAACATATCTGTTAAAATGAGATGTCAATGTTATTTTCATTTTTGCGTAAATTAGACGACAATTTGTCCATCGCACCCTGTATATTAGCTTTATTTGAAACAGAAAGAGAAGAGAAAAAACTTAGCAAGTAAGATAGTAACAGGGAACGTGAGAGAGGGAGAAAAAAGTTAAAAGAAAAAATGATGAAAGATAGCAAAATAATGTATGAAATTTCTTCAGACTCGGATTACAGAATAAGCGACCAGTCTAAAATATTTCGTGACTCTTTCTTAATTATAAATACCTTTATTTCTTTGGAGTCACGGCCTTCTTTGGGTTTTAACCCCAGAATTTCAGCCTTGTCAGAATTAATCAATGTCAATACTTTACCAAGTCATGAAAATCAAAGGCTAATAAGATTCTTTGAAAGTCCAATATCAACAGGTTAACGTCCCAGATGAATACATTTCTTCCAAACGGCTGAGATCCACACGTTTCTATTGGATGTAAATAAGAATGGTTTACACTTACGGTCATATTTCTTAAACAAACACGTTTCTTTATGTGAAAATATGATAAAAGAGTTTCGCCTATCGTTTTATTTATTTACAAAACATTTTCACAGAACATATACCGGCTTTGGGCGTAACTAGCCGAATGCTTACCTATATGTATACATAAACAATTGTATGCGTTTATCTAAATATATAAAGACATCAACCTGCTTCTAAAAGGATGAGGTTTTTGATATATGAAGAGAGCAGCAGAGAGAGGAAAATAATAAAGTGGTTCCAAAGAAAAGAGAAAGAAAGAAAGAAAGGGTAAAAGAGACAAACAATATATAACAAGAAAGAAAGAAAGAAAGAACGAAAAGGCAAACATTATGTAACAAGAAAGAAAGAATGAAAGATAGAAAGAAAGAAAGAATAAAAGAGACAAGCAATATATGAAAAGAAAAAAAGAAAGAAGGAATGGAAGAGACAAACCGTATATAACAAGAAAGAAAGAAAGAACAGAAAAGATAAGCAATATATGAAAAGAAAGAAAGAAAGAATAATATATGGTTGTGAGTGATAGAGAGTTATGTAGAAATATACACAAAAGCTGGAATTAATTTTTAAGAAAAAGAAGTATACGGAAAACAAAGAAAAATACAAGCAGGATTTGGAAAGAAAGAAAGAAAGAAAGAAAGAAAGAAAGAAAGAAAGAAAGAAAGAAAGAAAGGATAAAAGAGACAAACAATATATAACAAGAAAGAAAGAAAGAAAGAACGAAAAGGCAAACATTATGTGACAAGAAAGAAAGAAAGATAGAAAGAAAGAACAAAAGAGACAAGCAATATATGAAAAGAAAAAAAGAAAGAAGGAATGGAAGTGACAAACAGTATATAACGAGAAAGAAAGAAAGAACAGAAAAGATAAGCAATATATGACAAGAAAGAAAGAATTATACATACGATAGTGAGATGGAGGCATAAATACGAATAGACCAATGTCGAAAGAAATTTTAAATAGAAAAGAAAGAAAAACATAGAAACATACGTTTCAGCTGAAAACACTGTTATATGTAGAAAGAAACAACAGCTGAAATACATTTTAAGTAAGAAATATATATATATATATATATATATATAAGAACGAACTATTCATCAGAAAGAAAGAAAGGAAGAAACATGCGATGAATAAACAGACAAAAACATTAAAAAATATTATAAATAAAATAAAAGAAATTAAAAAAGAATTTTGAAGAAAAGAAAGAAAGAAAAATAATCGAAGAGAAGTAAAAATTTGTTAAGAAAGAAATCGAGCGAGAACGAAACAAGGGGAAGAAGTAAAAAAAAAATCAATTCATCCAAGTAAAATAGGGTAGGAGTTTATAGGAAAGCAACTGGAAAAAAGGAACACCTAAAAGAAAGATGAAGATGAGAGTGGAGAAGTAATGATGCAAAAGTAACAAGGAATATAATGACGTTAATTTCTGCCTAAATTTCTGGATCCTCGACTTATCATTATCTATTTACATTCGAATGAGATTACTAGAAAAATAAACTGGTTTCCGAATATTATTTTGAAAGAAAATAATGTTTGGAATATCGACTTCTTCATCTTCAAAGAGAATAAAATTATGTAGACTCAACGGAGGTACCTACGTATAGTGAACACATGCATGCATACATACATACATATAGATAGATAGATAGATAGATAGATAGATAGATAGATAGATAGATGGGAGAATATGATATATGAACTTCGATATATAAGAGCAATGTTAGGTAATTTAAAAAGTTAAAAAATTCTGTATACTACGTATTAAATTAATGTTTTTATTCATGAAAATACATACAACACTAGCGCACACATCCACTCTCCCTTAGTTTGATTACACACACACACATAAAATGCTTTGAAGTCCACAAATTTCTTGGTGGGTGTAGAAAATTGATCATGAAAAATACTAACATTTTCTTTCAAATAATTTTTATTTTCCCAAGTACTTTCCATCTCCTCTGAGACCATCTTCAGGGTTGCATATCTATGGATGTGTTATGCATTAACACCGTACATGCAAAATATTTTTTCGCTGCTATTCAAGGGAGGTAACTTATGTGATTTTTTTTAAATCTAATCGTAGTATTTTAATTTAGTACTTTTTATATAACACTTTGCTGCTACAAACATTTAATAACTTTGTTGCTATAATCTTAGGTGACTTTTGGGCCGCAATTCTCTTATATAAAAGGCTTCCTGAAATTTATGATTTTTGTTTATTATTATCTTGAAGCACTGATGAATTTTCGACTAATATATATCTAAACTGTGAATGTGGATATGAGTGTTCCTTTAAATGTTGTGAGACTGAACTGTGATCATTGAAGTGAAACGTAAGCCTTCCCGTCATCGTCGTTGTTGCAAATCTGTTCTAGAGTAGTTTCACAGTGGAGGCTTGTATTTCACTAAGTCGGTTCTAAAATAAGTTCGACGTACAAAACGTTAGGAACTTGATATAATAGTTAATGACGCAGCAATCTAGTTGCGGTGGCTGATACCTTAATGTCCGACTAACGGTCGTCCGGCATCGACTGACTGAGCGACTCACGGAGCGACAGACTTTTTGAGCGACTGCTACTACTATTACTTATTATAGGTGGGAGAGTCTATTAACTATAGAATAGGTGTGTTCCACTATAACAAAAACCAACATACGTACTAACATTTTTATCCGAGATGCAATCTCCCAAAAAACATTTAAATTGATATAGAATGTTGGTCTTTTGTAAGACGCTAGTTGACAGAGAAGAGTTGTTATGGATGACTTATTTAACCAAACATGTTGAATGAAAATATGCTGCCTATATGCACACACAAACACACATATGTGTGTGTGTGCCAGAATTAATCAAGAACAGTTGTAATGGTAGGCGGCACATATCCGAGTATGCCTATCTACAAAGACAGCTCGCCAATCCCTATTGTAGACGCCTGCTCAGGAACATATGTGTTTGTTCAACACCCAAACAGCCCATCTACAAGTTTATACTTCAACTCTACTGAGCACCTTAGTCACTGTTTCTGTTGCATTATCTAGCGTGATCAACAGTCAAAATAAGGCCTTGGTCGTGATGGCGTATTACTTCTTACTAGCACAACCATTGACGGCATGCAAACACTTCTGTCTACCCAATTTCATTCACGCCCCAGAACGATAATAGCCTGACAAATCGACCCTGATGAGATTCGAACCTGAGTCTCATAGCCAGAAAGTGAACATTCTAACCACTCGCCCCCTTGTCTATCAAGTTGCATTTACATAGACAATATACAAGCTATGAAAATGAAAATGAATGTAGCAACATTCGAAAGTACACGGGAAGAAAATAAAATATAAATAAATATGTTAATTTTGATAAATTTAACAACTAATTCGGAAATTTTAAAATTGGATAAACAGAACTTGTGGATATTATTCAATCGAACATGTTTGAAAGATATATATATATATATATATATATATATATATATATATATATATATATGGGGGTGACATATCTACTGTGGATACTTTTGGCGGCTGGCACTTTTAGAAATTTTCTCAAGTAGATGACGTGGGACGTAACAAGTAAAGATGTAGCGGAACTGTGGCGCTGTATCTGCAGTATCCACAATAGACAGACAGCGTTTTTAACCGTAGCATGATTGTTGGGGACAGAAAGTCAAGACCGTCTATGCCCGGAGATAGATTTTCCTTATGTTTTACTTGAGCAACAATAGCAAGCTCTGTAAATCCGAGACAGGCCACCATCAAGACACTGTAAATTGTACGTTCACCTAAGTTGATGAAAGAATTGGTCGACTGACGACTGATTAGGGTTTCAACCAAACCACATCCAACTTGAATGTTAGTGCCTCTTAACAAATCTACTTCAATATTCCGCGTCCCTTCAGGTAGTGGGTGATCCTAACTTTCCACAACTTTGTGACTTTTAGTAAGATTTGCCTTTTCGTCATCCCTGCTGTCATTGTTCTATCAACAACTTTGTTAAGTAAGTTACTTACTGTTTCTACCAACATCTCTTACTTTCAATATATCCTGCGTGTTCCAAATTCTGCAAGCCCTGTAGAATTTTTTTATTCTAAGAACGAGCGTCTTTTTTTTCTCCTTAAAATATCCTCATCACTGCATTCTCAGCCTCTTTTTCTGGAGTCATATTTCTGTTGCCTTAAGTCTCTTTTCATCTATGGGTAGATTTTCCAGCATTCACTACCATAGAGGAGGACAGATATTCTATAGCAGTTGAGCACCCTTTTCTTTGTTTCTAACGAAATTTTCTTGTTTCGTAATACTTCGCTGAGCTTTTGCAAGGGCAGCATTGTTTTATGGGAAGAAGTGAGAAAGGAAAGCGAGATAGAGAGGGCGGATGCCATCTAGTTGACCAACTACCCATTATCCAGGTGGAGGTTTGTCTCATTAACAATGCTGTTTGCGACGAGACGTCTTGTCCCGTCCTATTCTTGCAGCCATGTGATTGTCTTCGCGCTTTTTTTTTGTCTCATGTCAAAACTTAAACAAAGTCAACCCGGCACTGTCAGAAGTCTAGGCTAACAGAATTCAAACTACACCCTTTCAGATCCGGTCGTCAGAGTTCTGACCAGTAGTTTTCCATTTAGGTGCTAGCCTATACATTCTGTAACAAAAGGCATGAATTTTATCACACCTCCAAACACAGAGAAGGTAAAAGATTAAATAGCAGAGAACTAGGACCTGAAACTCTTAATCGCAACCCGTACAGGGGAAGGAATGTTCTGAATTCAAAACAACGGAGATGGCAAAGGGAACCCCGCTTTCCCAAAGAATAGGTTACTCGTTACTGCTGGCACCATCTAACATATAACAACCTGTCAAACTTTAATTGAAAAGGAGATGATTGTCGTCAAGTTCCATTACCCTGATAAATCTTGTCAATAGCTTATACTCAAAATGGCACTGCAAAGGTCGGTTCGATGACAACTTGAGATCGCCGTTTATTGAACCGGTTGTCTTTAAAACAGAACCAGTTTTCTTATTGAATACCTCTTAGTATTTCCTGTCTAGCAATTGTCCAACAAAAGACAAAAGGTTAAATTGAAATTGCCAAACATCTACAATTATGTACTTGTCGAGTATTCTGTCCATTTAGCTAATGTCAGGTACAACTCAGCTAAGATAACGTTGTCTTTGTATAATAAACGGTAAGCTGTGACATTACGTTAATATTCAGTCCCGTGTCGTCACCATATTTCTTTCTTTCTTTTAAGTTATCGCGTCAACTTTGCTTTTACTTTTACATCTAAACTAGATCTTTTTAAAAATGTGGTGCTTTTATTACACGTTTCGTCTACTAAGAATACAATTAGACGGCTACAAACGAGGACAGATATTAATTTAATTGTAGTTATTAGGTAGTCCTTCTGCAAACGTCATATAATATAACAAAAGAACATATTAGAAAGATTTCAATTAAACGGAAAGCGGACGAATGACTGAGTATCAAAGAAACCATTGCGAAAAATGTGCAATTTGGCGTAAAGTTTGGACAATTCATTTTGTTATCTTCGAAAACGAAATACACACGCATACACACGCACACAGACTCATATATATGACGAAATATAGTTTAAAGATATACTGTATTTATGGGTTAAAGTACTCAGTATCAGAGATAGGGCGTATGTAAATATAAAAGTGGACATGGCCGTCAAAACCGAGAGGTGTTTAGGATAAAACAGTCACCTCTTGGTGTTGACGTCAAATATATATATATATATATATATATATATATATATATATATATATATATATATATATATAAGTAGGAGGAAATACAGGAGTGAATGCCTGTCAATATTCACTTACACTTATATATATATATATATATATATATATATATATATATATATATATATATATATATAATATATATACCCAAATGAATTGA